ATTTCTCTGATATTCGTTGTAATATTTCCGAATTAAAGGGTGATAACTATAAAGTGGGGAAGGAAAGAATTCTTCTCCATTTAGGGTGAATGGATATTGATTATGCTATTAGGAAAGATGAACAACCTAAAATAACTGATACGAGTACTGCAGCAGACATCGCGCTTTATGAAAAATAGGAGAGATCTAATCGTCTCAACGTGATGTTCATAAAGACTAAAATTTCTGCTGGTATACGTGATTTTGTCGATCAGCATGATAAGGTCCAAAACTCGATAAAAGCTAAATGATCAATTCATAACTTCAGATAAGGCGTTACCAAGCACCCTTATAATGAAGTTCTCATCCTTAAAGCTCACTAGTTTGAAAGGTGTGCGCAAAATGGGAGACATTGCGGCTCAATTTAAGAAACTTGAGGTTGAGATTCTGAATCCTTCATTGTGCACTACATCTTGAATACTCTCCCACAATAGTACGAACCTTTCAAAATCTCGTACAACACATATAAGGATAAATGGTCAATAAATGAATTAATGACTGTGTGTTCAAGATGAAGGGAGGTTAATAATTGAACAAGGTGAAAGTGTAATGTTGACTACAACTCATGGGAAAGGAAAAGGCTCAAACCAATTAGAAGGGGAAAGGTAAAATACCACCCCAGGCTGATATTGAGAAAGAGGCCAAGTGTTACTTCTGTAAAAAGAAAGGACACATGAAGAAAGATTGCGCCAAATTCAAGAAATGACTTGAGGATAAAGGTAATCCGACCTCATTTGTTTGTTATGAATCTAATATTGTTAATGTAAATATTAACACTAGGTGGATTGACTCTCTACAATCCATATTGTAAACTCCTTGCAGGGTATGCGAAATCTAAGGAAGCCAGTGGGAAGTAAGCAAAATATCTTATTTGGAAACAAGATTGGCTCACATGTGGAGGCTATAGGAACGTGCATTTTAACTTTAAGTAGGGCTTTGTTTTGAAATTAGATAGGACCTTTTTTGTTCCAAGTTTTTCACAAAACTTGATTTCTATTTCCAGACTTGCACCCTTAGGATATTCCTTTAATTTTTCAAACATGTCATTCAGTTTATTATATAATTTTGATTGTGTTGGGAATTGTACTATTTCAGATGGTCTTTATCGTATTAATTTACAAAATAATATCACTTATAGTTCAATGCATGTTCATACTGGCACTAAACAATGTAATATTAATGAAGACTCCTCTATGTTGTGGCATAGGAGATTAGGACATATCTCTATATATAGAATCAAAATATTAGTGAATAATGGGGTACTTAGTACTCTATATTTCATTGATTTTGATACTTGTGTGGACTGCATTAAGGGAAAGCACACCAACAAGTCCAAGAAAGGTGCCAACAGGAGTTCTGACATATTAGAAATCATACATACTGACATATGTAGTCCAGACATGGACTCACATCGTCAAAAATATTTCATCACCTTTATTGATGATTACTCTTGATATATGTATCTCTACTTGCTTCATAATAAGAGCGAAACATTGGATGCCTTTAAAACCTTTAAGGCTGAAGTAGAGAAATAATATGAGAAGCAGATTAAGATCGTAAGATCAAATAGATTTAGAAAATATTACGATAGATACACAGAGGATGGACAACCACCTGGTTCGTTCGCTAAGTTTCTTCAAGATCATAGGATAGTTGCCCAATATACCATGCCTAGTTCACCAAGCAAGAATGGTGTAGCAGAAAAAAGAAATAGAACATTATTGGACATGGTACGGAGCATGCTTAGTAGTACCAATCTTTCTAAATCCTTGTGGACTGAAGCACTTAAGATGGCTATGTATTTATTAAATCGAGTTCCAACTAAGGTTGTCCCAAAGATGCCATTTGAACCATTGAAAGGTTGGAAACCAAGTTTGCGATATATGCGCATTTGGGGATGCCCGTCTGAAGTGAGAATCTATAATCGACAAGAGAAGAAGTTGGACCTAAGGACCATTACTGAGTATTTCATTGGATATGCTGAAAGGTCTAAGGGATACAGATTTTACAGTCCATCTCACAGTACTAGGATTGTAGAATCAAGAAATGCTAAGTTTCTTGAGAATGACTTGGTTAGTGGGAGTGGTCCAACCAGGAACAAAGTTCATGAGCATGATCATTTGGAATCTCAACCTTCCACCTCGAGTGACAGATTAGTCATAGTTCACAACACTCCTCAAGTACAAATAGGTAATGAACGACCAATCATTGAACTTCCACAAGCTACTGACAATGTTCAAGTAGATCAGGTAATTCCGGAATTTCTAGAACCTCCTGAACAAACAATTGAACCACAAACTTCTCAAGAAGATGATGTTACAACATTAAGAAGATCTACAAGAACCAAAAGGTCAACAATTCCTAGTGATTATGAAGTGTATTTATAAGAACCTAACCATAATATTGGAGCCGAAAATGATCATGAATCATTTTCAGAGGCCATGAGTTGTAAAGAGTCAAAATTATGGTACAATGCCATGAAGGAAGGGATGAGTTACATGAATAATAATGAAGTTTGGGATCTTGTTGAGTTACCTAGTGGTGCCAAAGCCATTGGTTATAAATGGTTCTTTAAGACTAAGAAAGACTCGTTAGGCAATATTGAGAGATACAAGGCGAGACTTGTTGCTATGAGATTTACTCAAAATGAGGNGTGAGACTTGTCGCTATGGGATTCATTCAAAAGGAGAGAATCGATTACACGGAAACCTTTTCTCTAGTATCCAAAAAAGATTTCTTACTTATTATTTTGGCATTAGTAGCCCATTTTGACCTTGAGTTGCAACAAATGAATGTGAAAATAGCACTTCTCAATGGATATTTAGAAGGGGAGATTTATATGAAACAACTTAAAGGATTCCCCTTTGATGATGGTGAGTACTTGGTATGTAAGCTTACGATGTCTATATACGGTTTAAAACAAGCATCCCGTCAATGGTATTTAAAATTTCATGGAGTAATTTCTTCATTGGATTTGTTGAAAATCCCATTGATCAATGTATATACCAGAAGGTTAGTGGGAGTAAGATTTTTTTCTTGTTTTATACGTAGATGAAATTTTACTTGCAACCAATGATAAGCATGAGGTGAAACAATTCCCTTCTAAACATTTCGATATGAAGGATATGGGTGAGGCATCTTAGATTACGAGGAATTTTGGGTTTGTCTCAGGAAACCTATACCAACAAAGTTTTAGAGAGATTCTAGATGAAAGATTGTTCACCAAGTGTAGCTTCCATTGTGAAGGGTGATAGGTTCAATTTGAACCAATGCCCGAAAAATGATTTGGAAAGGGAATAGATGAAATTCTTCTGTTATCAGAAGCCTAATGTATGCTCAAATCTGCACAAGGCCTGACATTGCATTTGTTATAGGAATGTTAGGACGATATCAAAATAATCTAGGTATGGACAACTTGAGAGCAGCAAAAAACGTAATGAGGTACCTTCAAGGAACCAAAAATTATATGCTTATGTATAAACGGACGAATAATCTGGAAGTGATTGGATACTCAGATTCGGACTTTACCGACTATGTTGATTTATGAAAATCAACATCAGGATATATTTTTATGATGCCTGGTGGAGCTGTATCATGGAGGAGTGCCAAGCAAACCTTAACTGCTATTTCCACTATGGAAGTCGAGTTCGTTTCCTATTTTGAGGCTACTTCGCATGGTGTATGGATCAAGAGTTTCATATCTGGGTTTAGAGTTATGGATTCCATTTCTAGGCCATTAAGAATTTATTGCGACAATTCGACTGCTGTCTTTATGACTAAGAACAATAAAAGTGGTAGTCAAAGTAAACATATTGACATTAAATATTTAGCCATAAGAGAACGTATTAAAGAAAAGAAAGTGCACGCTGAGCACGTAAGCATCGAATTGATGATCGCTGATCCTTTGACTAAGGGCATGCCACCATTGAAATTCAAGAATCATGTAGAGAAAATGAGACTTGGTTCCACTATGTAATTATATATACAATTTTTGTATGAAACTCTTATTTATTTTGAAATTTTCTCATATTTATGCGCGCCTTAATTTATTTGAAAAAATACATTTATGTTGGACCAAGAATAAGACATAAGGCCTTTTCATTAAGTATTGTTACCACGTAAAGAATAATTCTTGAGAAACTAAACACATTATAATACATGGAGTATACTACTCGTTATCAAAGGACACATCGCCATGATTCATGTGTTTGTTTTTTAAAAAGGATAATCGATGGGATTGAATTGAAACATTAGGATGAATGTATGGACCAAGTGGAAGAATGTAACATATCCTTCTCTTCACATTCTCTTCACATTTATGTTGGACCAAGAATAAGACATAAGGCATTTTCATTAAGTATTGTTACCACGTAAAGAATAATTCTTGAGGAACTAAACACATTATAATACATGGAGTATACTACTCATTATCAGAGGACCCATCGCCATGATTCATGTGTTTGTGTTTTAAAAAGGACAATCGATGGGATTGAATTGAAACATTAGGCTGAATGTATGGACCAAGTGGAAGAATGTAACATATCCTTCTCTTCACATTCCCGTTGAAGAATCCATTGAAGTCTCTTCCCATTTCTTCAATGGTCATATTGATGGTCCAACATTCATGGGGTTTTCAGTTTCAACATTTGTGGAATTCAATTTCACCATCAATTGGTTGGTAACTTAAGCCATGATTTGATGGGAGTTTTGGCTATATATATATATATATATATATATAGAGAGAGAGAGAGAGAGAGAGAGAGAGAGAGAGAGAGAGGTTTTGGTCCTCAAGCTCCACCACCGAAAATACAATATACACCATCTATTGAGAGTGTTGAGAGTTTGGAAGTTCCATTACATGTAGAAAGGAGAGCTTGTACAACATCATCAATGGCTAGAGCTATGAACCGATCGCTATGGTATTTCGGTTTTTTCTATCCAATTCATTTCCGCATAATTGCTCAAGATCGATTTTTGTCTAACAGTTCCTCCCCACTAATCACCATTCTTTTCAACGTCAATGATTTTTCTAATAAAAGCTTGATGAGCGCCATCTCAGGAACATTGCCACTAATAGATATCAACTTCACATCCTGAAGTCGATTTAATAATACCTTTGAATAGTCTTGCACTTTGAGAAATTCCATAGTATCACCTGTATCATATGCTTCTTCAGGAAACATCTATACAAAAATATGAAAAAAAAATAAAAAAATAAACTTAGCTTACGATTTTTTTAGTTTAATAAGGAAATAGGAGATTGAAATAGTTGTGTCATTACTCACCGTAATTTTTAGTTTCTCAAGGTTTGGGAAGCTCCTAAGAAAGCAAAGAACACTCGAGAGTTCTTCCAATAAATCTAAACTTATAGCTGATAACTCAAGAATCTTAAGGTTATTTGAAGTAGCTAGAACTTTTGTTTGGATTTTGTCATCTGCAGTCAAGAGCTGGAACGAATATGGCAAAAGCATGGTCAAATATAGTTCACCAGATGAATGCAGACAGAATAATAAAGCAACCTTAACTTCACAAAATGATAGTCCATGTGGAGTTTCTGGAGGGCAGACGCAGAATAAAAAAACTCGACTAAGTTACAAATTCCATCTCCCACGGCCACGCCACAATGTGTAACAATTGATACTATTGCAAGAAATGGATGTACAGTAACATGTCAATTCAAAGATTTTTAGCATAGGAACATCAATTTCAAAGTAATCAAGTTTGTTTGAGACATGCAACACCACTTGCTCCAGTAATGGGCAGCTAGATATCAAATTCCCCATGGAAAATTCTATTTGTACATAATTTTTTACCTAATGTTTTACTGAATTGACAAGTGGCGGCTCCCTATTAGGTACGTGTAGCATAACTCATTTCCTAGTACTTCTGTATCAATGGTAACGTAAATCAATTCCAGTCTAATCAGCCGATTGAATCCTTTAAAGCTTGGTGGAGGATTGATCACACCAGAGCAAAGACTCAAATTTTTCAATTGCGAACACATAAATAGTGAAGAAGGCAACTTGTATATGCACCTTGGATTTCAAAGATGAATTCTTCAACACCATTTTTTGATAAGAAATAGATCAAGTGGTCAATTTCTGAACAACTTCTAAGTCCTGGAGGAATGAGGGTGAACTTTGTTACAGGTCCTTGGTGAAATAAAAGAACCTGGAAAGGGATCGATGTGAACTTAATTCTAGCTGATTCATGGTTTTCCACTGCTTCTTGCCAGTGTATCATCAAATATCAGTTGTGGCAGGTTGACACCCATTTATACCTCCATTGTTTTGACAAGATACTTGTCTTGACAACATCGCGTATTGTCAAATGCGTTAAAATGTTCTCCATTACGTTGTCAGGAAGAGTGTTTATCATATCAACAGGTTGAAATGGTGCAATTTCCATCCTCCAATGTTATTGGCAAACACAATTCTGTAATGACATATCAAAAGCTAAGAATTCATACTTGTAAACTTATTGCATACGCATATCAGATACGTATCCAAGCTTGTACAACCTTGGACACTATCCGATACATATCGGATACATTATTTTTAATTATTTTATATTTTTAGAATTTTCAATACGTATCGAACACTCTAGGATACATGAAAAAGAAGAAAAAAATATTATTGGTTTTAAACTCTTTCAAAACTCATTTTATATTATTACTAGTAATAGATGATTTTTTTTTTAATAATTATCAATAAGTGAAAATACATAATATTTATTAATTAACAAGGATGACCTACTCTTTTATGCACTATATGAGAATGGATAAAATAACTATATAATGAATTGAAGAACTGGTTTTCATTCATAATCTTTTTATCAATAAAATTGAATCTTTATTTAAAAAAAGAATCCAGAATGGTGGGACATTGTCGGGGACTCATTCGATACTCTTGAAGGTTTTGAATCAGAGTTGGAGAATATTATTATTAATGATAATAAAGAAGCTTATGGTGGCAATGTTGAAGAAAATGATCTTTGGACAATTAAGGACTAAGATAAAAATACTTTTAATATTTTTATTGTCAGGCTTCTATTTTAAATTTAAGGGATAATTGCAACAAAAGTCTCAATCCTTTGAAACACTAGCAGACTTTCTCCAAATCTTTGATTTATTGTAGTCATCACCCCTAACATTTTCAAATGTTGTAGGTGAGGCCCTTTTGGATGGTTTCTATCAAAAATGCCGTCAGTTGACCCAAAAAATTAAAGCTTGACATGAGGGTAAAATAGTAATTTAATAATATTATCATATAAAATATAATTCAAGAAATTAAAAAAATGAAAAAAGGAAAAGGAAAAACTTCCTTCCCCTTCTTTCCCAACCCAACCCACTGGTCTCTTCTCCTTCTTCCCCTAGTGGTTTCTTGAGAATCTATCATCTTCATCATTTACACAAATTCCTACTTTTTTGCTCTAAATTGTTTTTATTTATAAAGTTTCAAAATCTTGATCTTACAAAAATGGGGTTTACGGAAAAAATTCATAGAATGGACGAAACTTCATTGAGAAATCCCCTAAAGCTAATATCTACAAATCCAGTAGAGAAACTAGGGCTACAAAAAGATGATGATGAAGAGTTCTCAACAACACCAAAATCTGCAGATTCATGAATTCCAAGCAAATTGATATGTCCACCAGCCCCGAAAAAGCGAAAAGCTTCTTCAAAATATTTTGTTGGTGTTATGGAGTTCTTCAATCCACCATACCTGGAAACAGTTTTCATTCCTGGTCGAAAGAGCTTGAAGCGATGTTGGACCTTACAATAAACAAGATTTTAACTTCTTCAAGATTTTGAAACTTTATAAATAGAAACAATTTAGAGCAATAAAGTGGGAGTTCGTGTAAGCGATGAAAAGAATAGATTCTCAAGAAACCACTAGGGGAAGAAGGGGAAGAAAGTTGGTTTGTTATGGAGGCTGGGGTGGGGGCGAGGGGTGGGGTGGGTTGGGTTGGGTAGGGGTAGAAGGGGAAGAAATTTTTTCCATTTCCTTTTTTTATTTTTTTATTTTTTAAAATTATATTTTATATGGTAATATTATAAAGTTACTATTTTGTCCTCATTTAATTTGTAAAAAATGGTCAAACTTTAATTTTTTGGATTAACTGGCGGCATTTTTACAGAAATTATCCAAAAGGACCTCACCTACAGCATTTGAATAGGTTAGGGGTGACGGCTGCAGCAAATCAAATGTTTGGGGAAAATCTACTAGTATTTCAAAGGTTTGGGACTTTTGCTGTAATTACCCCTAAATTTAATATTTTTGTTGTGAGGCTTCTATTTTAAATTTTTTTATAACAATAAAAACATGTTGAATTTTTTATTTAACTTATTAAAAATACTACATATATATTTTATATATACAGACACACATATTTGGGTATCCTAAGTTTTGTTGAAAACCGTATCGACGTATTATGTATCCGAATGGTTGTTAGATCAAAAGTACAAGTCATGGAAATATCAAACTACCTTTAAGCAATTTGCATTTATGTCTTGGCTTGGAGTAAGATACGATAAGCTATAAACTCTTAAACACCTGGTAGTTTCATTATTGCATCATGTGATACACGAGTATTTTTAGTAGCAGCTATGTAATGGGAAACAAAACATTCTACAAAAATTGACAAACAAACAGAAAAGAGAAACAACACCAAGCTATACGGGTAATATCAACAACCAAAAAACTGACTAGAAAAATCTACTTTACAGAAAGTAGAAAAGCAAAAGATGGAGAGTCAGTGAAACTAGGAAAATAGTTAGTAGGGGATAGAAAAAAAGACGAGAAAAGTGGAGAAATTTTGGAGGAAAAATTCGTTCTACTTATCATTCTGATTAATGCTCAAAGTTGTACATAAGTTGAGGTCCGAGTTCTCATTTTATGCACATAAAGAATTTAAATCAAGAAGACCCCATTATATAGTTGGTCAAGGGATGAAATCTGTTGGATAAATTGCACTCGCCGTATCCAATTATACCCCAATTCACACCTCTACTCTTAATGATCTTTTTCTTGGCATGAAGCTCCCCAACCTTTCATTAACATGCAAAAGGTTAGTGCCTAAAAAGACTTTGTTGACTTCTATAATAAATAGCTGTCAAAGCTACTACGTAATATAGTTGACTTCGACAAATTTAGCAATTTTTTTTTTAGAAAAATAAAGCGGTCAGAGATTATTGATTAAGAATCATGTTATATGTACAACATAGGTTAACAATATCCTACTTGACATCATCATATTCAACAAATTTTAAAAACTGTTTTCTATATCACGGATTTGGATTTGAACAACATGTAGTTGTCAACTAATTTATTGCTTAACAAATTTCTTCTTTATTTATTGCGTAAAGACTCAACTGTGCTTTTGTACTTGGGTCTTTGTCTTTTGGGACTAACAAGTGATTGACTTTGACATCTATGGCTAAAAATATTTCTTCTTCATTCCCACCCCCTTCCAATGAGTGTGGATCTGGTGCTTTCATTATAGTTATAATAATTACTTCCACATGATTTTTTGTATCTAATTTTTATACGGGAGAATTGCAGTCACAATACTAAATCTTTCACTTTGTTGTAGTCTTGACCCAAATCTTTCATTCGTGTCACAATAGGTACTAAATCATTAAAAAATTCACAACTCGAGTCTAAAATGACAGTTTCTATCAATATGATCCCAAAAACCGTCAGTTGACCTCATAAATTAAAAATTCAATAATTTTCCCAAATAAGATAAGAACATTTTGGACATAACACATTTTCTCATGTTAAATCAAAAATTAAAAAAAAAAAAA